CTACTCTTTTCGATTTCCAACTGCCAAGGGATTTTTTACCTGCGCAACAATGCACACAGGCGTCCGATCTCACTACACAGAGACCAGGGGGAATTACTAAGTCCAAGTAGACGTGAAAAAATCCCAGCCCTTACCGGGGATTTAACCCGGAACCTCTAGTACTCTGTATAATATTTGTAGAATATCTTGGAAATTTCGTTACCTAGCTGAACGCGATCTTGTCTATATAGGAATGAATATATTTTGTTTAGTCATCACGTTCCTATTTGCAGAGAATTAACACTTTTATTTTGAAGGTTGAAACGTTTTCATTCCCCTGGCCCTGGGTCGCAGCGTATACAAATGCACTAGTGCAGAGCCGCTTGGGAAAATAAACGATTAGTTTGTTTGAGGTTAATATTTGCAGTTGAGTGGGGAAACATGCAGCGAGGTAGGTGGTTGGTACAGTCAGTTCCAAAAGTTGTGCTTTAAATTTAAAAAAAAATATATTCAGCTTTCTGTGTACGTTGTTGAAGTTTGGCATGCCAGCTATTAATAATCCTGTTCTTGTCGGGAAATATAAACAATTATCCAGTTTTATTTTGTAATATTTGCTGTATAAGGGGTGGGGGGAGGGGCAGTCACAGATTCAAAGCATACAGTTATTATGTTTACAGTTAATGGACTGACGCGAACTTTGAAAAACCCTGGGTGCATTTTTTTTAAATTATGAATGTGCAATCATAATCTCATTTACATGATTGTAACTCCGTTCATAGACGTTTCACTCGCAGATGGTCAGTCTCCTGCATTAGTCTGTAGTGAAGTAGGTGAACACAATATTTCATTGTTTGCGGGAAAGGCTATCAAAATAATGAGCACTCGTCGCTGCACATGTGAAATTATTTTGAAAAGTCTCCACGCTTGTGGTTTAAAGTAAACGATTTGTATCAGTTACTGTACATTTTTATTTATTTATTTACGGGTACACAAATTACTGGTCCGAAAAAGATCTCAGAAATTCGCCGCTTTAAGAAAACAGCAGCACTTGTGCAGTTGTAAAATCATAAGGGCATTGCTAATATAAGACAAAGTGCAAAAATTCATGCTGTTTCGTATAACTAAAGTGTTCTACCACAGTTAAAACCGATACTGCTCGCAATAGCTTAAACCTGGTCGATATTTTGTGTTTTGTTTTTCATAAACAAATGGATCGACCATACTTTTGTGGTGATTCTAAGTTCATATCTTTTAAAGATGTCTCCAATATAGCGGCATATTCTCTGTCTTATAACTGTTGATACTAGTAGCTGTTCATACATTTCTGTTATTTCTTCAGTCCTCTTGAATTCTTACTAATCATGTTCATCATTTTCCTCATAATTTATTTTTGTATGCATTTTACATTTGTTGCATATCTTCTTCTTCTTCTTCTTCTTTTTCTTCTTCTTCTTCTTCTTCTTCTTCTTCTTCTTCTTCTTCTTCTTCTTCTTCTTCTTCTTCTTCTTCTTCTTCTTCTTCTTCTTCTTCAGCATTCCGAGCCCTTGAATTTCATTGCTGCAGATATCACTCGCGCCTCCATTCATCTCTGGTTGGCCTTTTCTTTCCAGTTGGTGACAAGTTTTTGCAGGTCTGCCTGGACATTATCTCTCCATCGTCTTCTTTGTCTGCCTCGTGGTCTACGACCATTCATCTCCCTTGTGTATACAGTTTTTACTTCTCTGTCATCTGACATTCTTTTACTATGCCCCAACCATTTCAGTCTATTAGCTCTCATAATGCCAGTGATCAAGGTGATCTTAACAGATTATTAATTTCGTTGTTGCTTCTAATTCCATGAGTCGCCTTGGATTACTAAAATAATTTTTTTTAACGATCACCCACAATGTGGATTTGAACATTTTCCTGCTAGACTGGAAGGAAAGCCTGCTAACCGTTGTGCTTCCTCACTCCCTGTTCCTCCCTCCCCATTTCCACCTACCCCCCTCGCCCCCCCCCCCCCCATTTCCCCCAAATCCGACATTGGGAGCACACATTGTAACTGTCATCGATTTGCTGGTTGGGTATTAATTAATTACCCCTTTTCCACGCCTTTAAAGGTAGTGGGTATATAGAGCTTGACCCATATTTTATACACCAATTGGCACTACGTGTGTGATTTATCCATCATCACTCCGGCCACCTTTACTTCCCAGGACTTAACCTAATACCGATTTGAGGATGGGTCCACCTGGAAGCTACGGTCATGTTTTGAAGGGAAAAAAAAGTGTGGATCCGTTCGCATTTGAACTCACAACCTTTGGATCTGAAGACGAGCCTCCAGCCTCTATACCACAACAATAGCAAACAACTAAGCATAAAATTGCCTAGTGCACGCAAACAGTCGGCGCTTGTGGCTTAGGAGTTGCGAACACGCTTTGTAATGCCGTGGTGCTGGGTTCGATTTCAGCTGCGGGCCTTGCGCCTTGCGTTGGATTCGACAGTGGTATCGAGAAGCCGACCGTCTAGAGAGCAATGGCAAACTACTGGACGTAAATTTGCCCAGGAAAACCACAACAGCCGAAACAAATGCTCGCGTTGGTTCAACAATGTCCTGTAAGGGATACGCAACTTATTCGTTAGTCATTCTCCTCGTAATAATGACGACTTTGATGATGACTGAGCTTGTAGCGGTCGTGAAAGTAGTGAAGGAAATTTAACAAAACAAACATAATCTGGAAAAGCAGGCAGCGCAACAGCTAGACGCTCGTTTGCGGATCCAAAGGTGTGAGGTTTAAATCTGCACGGGCGTATTTATTTATTTATTTAAAGATAGTCAGTAAGTAAATTTTAAATGAAATGAGCGCTGAGGGTTCAGACTTGAGCGATCAAATTCGGTACTCCAGAGCATTCACAGATAGCAGTAAGAACAATAAAAGTGACAGAATGTAATGTAAACAGAAAAACAAGTGACGTTTTCAAAGTAGTAACGATAATCGATAAAATATTCACGTACATGCAGATTCTGTCCCTTAATCCGTAACCATATATTTCGTAAATCTTTTTAAACGTAATGACTTCCTGTTGACAACATCACACATCTAAGACAGATTGGTCTATAAAATAAATTTCCATCTATCACTAAATACATGATTTACCAATGGCGATATTAACTCTTGTATTTACTTCACAAATGCCAGCCGTCTTTACTTCCTATTTTATTTCCTGATTTGCATTGTAGAGTAAATCGACCATGAGATAAGGCCAGTGTCTGATCAGACCCTCCCTTATTTTATCAATACTTGCCGTCCTTTTTAGGGTGAAATTGTTCGTTATTTGAAGCCCCACTCTGGCTCTTGTCAGGGGCCTCAATATAGCCAGGCCATAAATATGGTCTAATGGCTGAACGCGGTTTCTGGACCTATCCACGGTGATCCTCATCCACATGATGGCACATAGTGTCATCGGGTGTTTATAGCTTGTGTGATGTCCTGGTGGGGTAGAAAGTCAGTCAGTCAGACCCGCCCTTTGTAACTAGTCATCTGCATGTGTGATGCAATTTTTCGTTGCCAGGCTCTAAAATATGGCATTTGAACAGGGTTGGTGGAACCTCTTCACGGGTGATACTTATTCGCATGGTGGCACTTTATGTCAGCGGGTGTTTATCGTTTGTGTTATATCCTGGTAGGGTACAACTCCCCTACTTAGCTAGCCTTACCCTGATCTGCCATACCCTGTCTGCACTGCAAATTACTTTGTAACCCTCAGAGGCCCTAATGAGTTGAGTTGAGGTGAGTCAAGAATTGATATCACAGCACTCAGGGCATTTCCGTGCATGCTTCGACCCCATCTTCAGCAGCCATCGCTGAGCTCCAGTACTGATGGTACTGGTCCCAATCTGGTTATATGTCCGTCTTGCCTTTCCTCTGAGTGTAGTGAGCCGGCCAAACCCTCTGGTTACATCCAGGTGCCTCATTCTCTCCAGGTCATAATAACCTTCTTTTTCTACTGATTCCGTTGCTTGTTCCCAAAGGGCCTTGACCACACCTGCCTTGACATGTATCAATTCACCTCCCAGTGATGCAGATCCAGGAAATCTGTCAGCTTCTCTGCCAAGGACCATAATATAACTTTGCTGTTAAACAGGGTTCCTTGGATATGTGGATCCACGCTGGATCTAGGTTACTTTGTAACCGTTCTTTATAGTGCCCCATTTTAAATATGTTATCTTTCTGTACGGTTTCAAGACGTACTTGGCATTAAGTGGCAGGACAATATCACAAACACCGAGGTATTGGAAAGAGCAGGAATCACAACAGATTTCTCAATGCTTTATGGTGAATTAAAAACATTCAGAAATTGTCGAGGCTGGCCTCTACTACGATATAAAGATATTTGCAAGCGGGAGATGGATGATACAGGTATTAAGGTTCACTCGTGGGGGGGGGGGGGGGGGGGGGGGGGGGGAAGGGGAATGTCATGGACTGTGCTATGTGGATAGGACACATTAGGAATAAGAATCAAGGAGGAAATAATAGCTGAACGTCTGAAAAGAAAAAGACTAAACACAAAAGTTGACAACAATGGTCCTGAAATCAATCGCTATAATTTTGGAAGGCTTTTCTTAACACGGACACGGTCTTGCTAGTCACACTCGCCATCGCCATGTCAAATTCACTTGAAGTTCTTGATTAAATTCACTATGTAGATAAATGTCAAATTCACTTAAAGTTCTTGATTAAATTCAATATGTAGATAAATGTCGAATTGCCTGGAAAGTTCGTGATTAAATTCACTATGTAGATAAAAATCAAATTCACTGAATGTTCTTGATAAAATTTACTATGTAGATAAATGTTAAATTCACTGAAAGTCCTTGATAAAATTCACAATGTAGACAAATGTCAAATTCACTGAAAATTATTGATTAAATTCACAATGTAAATGAAAATTCTCTGGGTCTTTGATAAAATTCACTATGCATATAAATGTCAAATTGACTGGGTCCTCGATAAAATTCACTATGCAGATAAAAGTCAAATTCACTGAAAGTCCTTGATAAAATTGGCGATGTGCCCGTAGGCTTCCTGGCACTTGGTCTTGAACACACCTGGACACATGAAGAAGCAATGGGGCACCCCTTCGATGACAACAATTCGGACCTTCACTCCAGCAGCTCGCAGCTTCTCTGCGTACATCATCCCGCTGTCTCTGTTGAAATATTCAAAAAGAATTAAAGGGTAGATTGAAGCTAAAGAATCTGTTACATCTTTTTCATCATCATTATCATTTTCATCATCATAATTATCGTTACCATCTTTATTTTCACCATCATAAAAATCATCATTTTTCTCATCATCATTATCATCCACATCTTCATATTCATAAATCCTAACACTATAATAATCATTAAGATCTTCATCGTAACTATCGTCAACATCATCATTATCAACGTCATCATCATCAACAACAACACTATCATCAACAACGAAAATTATGATGACAGTTATAATCATCATCATCATCATCATAACGTCACCATCATCACTGTCAAAATCATCAACATCATCATTATCATCAACATCGTCATTATCAACAACATCGTCATTATCATCATCATGATCGTTTTCATCATCATCAACATCGACTGCATTATCGTCAATATTAGCATCATGATCAGCATCATCATTATCATTATTAACAACATAATCAACCACCTTCAATAATATCATCATCGTTATTTTCCTTTTCACCATCATCATCATCACCACCAGTATCACCATCATCATCACAAATATCAGTAACATCATCAAAATCATCATCCTTATGATCAGGATAAAAATAATCATCATCAACATTATTATTATCATCATTATAGCACTTTCATCATCATTATATATATATATATATATATATATATATATATATATTTCACTTTAGTAGTTTATCCTATAGACTTCAGTCTCTTTCTGTATATAGAAAAGTTCAGGTGTCATGTCCAGTTTATACTCCTTGATTTCTGTTTCCACTAGCCGTGTCTCTTTCAAGCCGTGCTGTAGTGGCTTGATTCTCGTCTGGGGATTCGAAGGTCATGGGTTTAGAGCCGGGCTTTTCTTTCAGGTCGAGCCAGCTTCAAGTGGGTACCAGGTAAAGTCCTAGGAAGTAAAGGCGGCCGGCGTGATTTTGATCACATCGCCCACCAAACGACAATTTGTGTGTGTGTGTAAATTAGAGGTCGAGCCCTACATGCCCAATACGTCAGAAGGCATGGACAAGTGCTCTGCATTTACTTACTTCATGTGTCTTTCCATATCGTTTTTCCAGGTTTCATTTCATTGTCCATGTATCCTTTTCCCAAATGCCGTCCATCAGACATCTGTCCTTGCCAGAGTGTTACAAGACGCTATGAAAACATGTCTATCGCTGGGTATTTGCAGGATGCCTTATGACACAAGTTCTCCATCGTCTTCCTTTAAAAGCGTGGAACAGCTAACGAAGTCGGACCCAGAAAGAGACTGACTTCCCTTGCCATTCATCACTAGTCATGTCGTAGGACCTGTCCTATGTTGTAGGGGTGTCCCTCTTTGTGAGCGTCCATCGTTATTGTCATAGGCTGCATGCAGTCATAGGATGTAGGCTGCACTCTCTCGTGTGATGTAGGCTGAGGCTGTGGCGTAGGGGGTTTTGGGTTAGGACCAGTTCTGCAAATTTTTTGCCCGTTAACAGTGCTCACATCCTGGAATATAGAACACGTGACATCGCCGGTCGGTGACACCCCCGCAGCATAGAACAGTCCCTATGACACGGCCAAGGATTAATGTCAAGGGAAGTAACTCTCTTTCTGGGCCCGAGTTCGTGAGTTGTACCAATAACGTTTACCAGCGATGAACAGTATTCTCCTATCCCAGTGCTTCATGATCTTGTAGGCCCAATATTTTGCAGGATTCTTCTTTGGCCTAAATGCCAAACTGAAGTCTTTAGTTGATGTGTAACACCAGGAAGCTCATTTAGATTTAACTGCTCTTCAGAAATAATAGAGTTTAGAGAGTAAAACACTCTTTTCCTTTACTGTTTCTGTTTGCTAATACCTGATGGTGTCCAGCTGGGCCAAGAGTACCAGAGCAGAAGGGGCCGATGTGAGGTCAGTCCTGGTGACTACATTGACCCGTGGATCGGTCAAGTGGTCAGGTAGCGCCTTGGCCATGTGTCTGATAAACCACTGGATGTCAGCTTTGGATAGCAGCGGAACGTTGGCGAACTCCTGGTGTGGCAACAACAGTTCAAAGAAAAATGTCAGAGATATTATAGAATCCGAAATGAAGTCATTAGAGAGAAGAATGTTGGCAAAGAATCAACATGAAATTACATTCAAAGACAGCAAATAAAATGGTTTGTCTACAAATAATACCTTGCAACGCCAAACCATTCAAAGTTTACACTAAACTATACACGTTTTACGCCAGCACCACACCACAAAAGGTTTACACCAACGCCAAACCATACAAGGTTTACACCAACACTAAACCATACAAGGTTTACACCAAAGCCAAACCATACAAGGTTTACACCAACGCCAAACCATACAAGGTTTACACCAACACCAAACCATACAAGGTTTACACCAACGCCAAACCATACAAGGTTTACACCAACAACAAACCATACAAGGTTTGCATCAACGCCAAACCATACAAAGTTTACACCAGCAACAAACCATACAAGGTTTACACCAACACCAAACCATACAAGGTTTACACCAACACTAAACCATACAAGGTTTACACCAAAGCCAAACCATACAAGGTTTACACCAACGCCAAACCATACAAGGTTTACACCAACACCAAACCATACAAGGTTTACACCAACGCCAAACCATACAAGGTTTACACCAACAACAAACCATACAAGGTTTGCATCAACGCCAAACCATACAAAGTTTACACCAGCAACAAACCATACAAGGTTTACATCAACGCCAAACCATACAAGGTTTACACCAGCAACAAACCATACAAGGTTTACACAAAATAACAAGAGTTACATAGAGAACGCGAAAGACAAAGAACAAGACGGAGAGATAACATCAGAAATATACTACAATAGCACTATCTGTCTGTATGGTTAAGGCAAGCAGGAGACTAGGAAGCAGACCCTTATATCTCCCTCGACACCAGAATCGCGAAACAAAACAAAAACAAACAAAAAAACATATCGGGTTGAATGGTACTTGTCTGAAGAAAGTTAAATAATTAAAATATCTTGTAATTATATTCTTGGATAATAATTGAAACAAGATGTGAACGAGATAGTGCACTTATATACTGATTAGCACCGTTTTTTTTTTTTTTTTTTTTAGTTATCTAAACGTAAGTATGAGCACCAAGAAACAGATAATAAACAGAATATTCAAACCAACAATGCGTTACCATTGGCAGACTTAGACATTATCAAAGACTACCTGCGAAGAATTAACACCTGTGAAATGAGATGCATGAGAAAAGGAGCTAAATTTACCATCAGAGACAAAGTTAGAAACAATATTATCACACAGACTGTAGTAACAAAACCATGCAGCAAATTCATTAAGAAACAGAAGATCAAATGGTTTTGTCATTTAGTAAGAATGCAGCCCGAACAACTACCAATTCAGGCGCTACACATGAAAAGATATGAAGTGAAAGCAAAAGCCGCCCTCGGAGAAATGAATTGGTGACATTAAAGAACTTCTACATCGACACGGAATGACAATAGCCATTGCTGTCCTTCAAGCAATGGATCGCAAACTATCCTCGACAGCGCTTAACGGCAGAAATGGAAATTGGTAATTACAATGTGTTGTGGTCAACATCACTCAGGTCGCGTTAATTTCCCATTACATCTCCTGGTACCCACTATAGTCTGGGCCAACTTCGGAGTCTGGATCATTTCATAAATATACCATTTCATGCGAATCATTAAATACCCCTTTCCACGCCTCTGCGTACAATGAAGACAGCAACATTCTTAGAATGTCATGGATTCAAGAAGAAGAAGAACGCCGACTTCGTACGTTTTTTGAACATCGAGGAGAACTGGCTTATAAACAGCATTCTGTTCCGAAAACTGAGCTATTTTTGCCATGTTAAACGTCATGGTAAACTGAAAAGAACATTGATGAAGGGTACAGTTTCCGGAAAACGACACAGAGGTATACCTCAGCAGCGATAGATACAAGACATTGAGCACACACAGGGGCCATGAAAGCACACAGTGCTGGAGACTTGGCTACAGAAGAGAAACTTTCCGACGTGCCGTGATGAGCGCGATGTGATGTAACTGACTGACTGATTGATGATGATGTTCAGTAATTTGAATGCCTGATGTTTGTGTAGGCATGTGTGTATTTAAATGTAACAACTTAGGCATGTGGATACTTACGTCTACCGATGGCTGTGTAGGTCCAGTATCGACATTTGGATAAATCAAGATTTGAAAATCTAATCCATGAAGATCGTTGGCAACGCTAGCAGATATCTGGCCACCGGCACTATCGCCTCCTATACCAACTTTGCTTTCAGGACTTCCACCAACTTTCTGTTTATTTTCCAGAACCCAGCTGGCAACCACCTTAGCGTCATCGAAGGGAGCATGACCGTTGACCTGGTTTGGCAGCAGCCGGTACTCCACGTTTACCACGATACAACCAGCTTCCATTGCAATCAGTTGCAGGGTGGGCTCAAAACACTTCCGGTCAAACAAAATCAGCCCACCTCCATGCAAGTAGATCAAAATGGCCGGTGTTTGTACACAGTTGCTGGGTTTGTAGATGGAAACAGGAATTCCGTTGGCGACTTCGGGAGATGGGATGAACATTTCTTGGACCTGGCCATCGAAAGGAACTTCCCCAGCTGAGGCTTTTATCACGCTTGAGAAGATCCGATTAGCTTCTTCGATGTCGTAATCACTGAAATGTTTGATGTCGTTTTCCTTGATGATGTTTGTCAATGCGTAGGATTCTTCATGGATTGGGTAATTTCCAGCAAATTCTTCCCATGGATCGGCCATTCTGGAATACAATTATATGTTATATGGTGAGTGAATGTGTATATATATATATATATATATGTGTGTGTGTGTGTGTGTGTGTATACTGACATGTGTGTAACGTTACATTATATGAAAAAAGCAGCTTTTCGCATTCTTGTTATTGTTTTTCTCGTTTTCCTTCCCTTCTCATTTTACTTCTTCTTCTAGTTTGTGTTCCTCATTCTTTTCTTCCTAGTCTTCAGCAGCTTTAAACTCTGAAAGAAAGTTCTGCTTGTCCGTCAGTTTCTGAATTCAGTCTGTTTCTAGAATGTGCATTTCGCTTGCACATCCGTTTTTCAGATCTTGCTTTTTTGCATGTAGACTGTTCTTCCTTGCCTCTCGTGCAGATGCACTCCGAGTTCATAGGAATCATCCCCCACTGAAAGAGGGCATTAATAGTCCTCTGTCACCATCCTCAGAGCGTCTCGTCGCCGTCAGATAGGCCCACAATGCACACGTTGAGAAGATAACGTAGATGGGGATGGTTATGATGATTTCATCATTGTGTTTACAGTTTTAACGTCAAACGAGGCTTGAAGTCTATGCTTCCACTGAGCCCCGACCTTGCAGTCCTTTCCGTATCATAGACAGCATCCAATCCAGCCACTTTACCCGAGATTACAGTGATTATGATATAAAATAATGATAAAGATGACACAGATGACAAAGATAATAAAGATGATGAACGATTAAACGACAACGTCGATGTTAACTCTTTCGCTACCTGAAGGTTTCACAGGAAATGTAAAACAAAGAAACGACCATGATAAAAAAAAAAAACAGCACGAGTATAATACTTTCCAAGTGGCAATTTTCTTTCATTCAGTGTTATGTTGTGGCCTTGTATGTCACATAGGGCTCGCAGTCTATTCCTCCACTCTGTTCCATCATGTGCAATCCCGTCGAGATATTATGAATGGAATCCAGTCCAGCAGCTTTGGCCTCTCTCATCAATGTTTGTTTTGGGGTTTCTTTAGGGCGTCCTCGCCTCCTCGAGCTCTCTATTTACCATTTCGTTGCCTATTTAGTGATTTGATGTTCAATTTTTTTTTTATTATCAGGATGTGTAAAATATAGCACCATCTTCTCTGTCTTATAACAGTGGATACTGGTAAAGGGACAATATATAAACAGTGGTAATTGTCAGTGGGGAGGCCAGATTTTATTTAGTATTCTCTTACTAAGTTTCAAAAAGTACCCATTTTCCCAAATCATAGGGTCTAGAGTGCGTCTTATACAGTGGTAAAGTACCCCTTACCACGGTGTCAGGTGTATTGGTGATATAGACCTCCATTGCTTTATACCAATCGGCACTCGGTCAGTGATGTGGTCAGCATTATACCGGCCGCCTGTATTTCCCAGGGCTGTACCTGGTACCCACTCTAGGTTGGGACGATATTCGAGCCAAGGTCGTTATTGAAAAAAGTCCGGAACCATAAAGAGCCAAACCCGATCCGCAGGCGAACGTCGGGCCACAACATTATGGCGGCTTCCTTATACAATGGTAGCATATTCACGGTTTATTTTTTCTGCAAATATTCCAGTCATAGAACCAAGGTCCGTTATATATGGGTATTCTTATGCTTTAGGAACACGGTAATAATGACAGTAGTAATTCATTGAAACATAACATCTGAACTTTGGCAAATACTTACATGACTTGTACAAGTCGTGAACTAGGTACTCCGACTAAACTCTGGCTTCTTCTAGACTTCTGACAGGTTCTTCTTGCTCACACAACCTCACTGAATTCCCTGTTTGTGGGCTTGTATGCTACCTTCCCTTTCTCCTGTGACTTTATGTAGGCCGGGAGGTAAATCTAGCAGATAATAATATTTCAATTGTTTCTGTCTGCTCCTTGAGTGGTTCTTAACTTTGATTCATAGCTAGCTTGGCTGTGATAGGTAAAACAGGAAGACATGTTTGAGAGTGATGTATATTTGTATTTGAGAAGGAAGCATTCCTGTTCTTTCTTCGCCTTATGTAATTCTATAGTATACACATGATCAGGAGCGCCATCAGAGAGAAAACATTGGGAGAGGGGCGCGGGGAAGGGGCTTAAAAAGTGTATGCCGTTTTTGAGATAGATAGAGAGAGAGAGAGAGAGAGAGAGAGAGAGAGAGAGAGAGAGAGAGAGAGAGAGAGAGAGAGAGAGAGAGAGAGAGAGAGAGAGAGAGAGAGATGTAAAAAGAGAATGCCTATGCATTGTTGCGTAGGACGGTAAATAAGATTACACTTTTTTTTTAATCTTTTGGAATGGATGGGAGGGGGGCAGCGGGGGGGGGGGGGGGGGGGAAGGGGGGGGGGAGGACTAGGACCACTCAGGTTTCATCGTTAAAGGATAACAGTCTTCAGTCCTGCAGGGATCAATATTCAGCATATCTTTTATCTAATGTTTATTTCTCACAGAGAACCATCATAAAAGGTACCTGGGATGGCTACTGTACCGGGAGACTGAGCACGCATGGGAATGCCCAGTGTGCAGCGACGTCGATTTAATAATATAATAACATATCTACCTTATTGATTTGTATTGAGTAGGGACTGCGTGGTCTCGATGCATGGTGTCCGCCTCGAGTGCTAGAGGTTTTGTGTTCAATCCCCGGTAAGGGCTGGGATTCTTTTACATGGACTTAAAATTTCAGTAATTCCCTTTGGTTTCTGGGTAGTGAAATCGGACGCCCGTGTGTATTGTTGAGCACGAGAAAAATCCCTTGGCAGTTGGAAATCGAAAAGATTAGTCTAACGGGGCTGCTGGGGTAAAGTGTGCAGTTAAAAGTCTACCCAGCGTATTTCTGGATCCTTGTCGGTGCTACAGAGATCGCGCACTGTGCTGAGCATCTTTGGACAGAAGAAAGAAGCACTTACGAGTTACTACCGGTGTGCCATGATGTTGTTCCGTTGTTCATGATCTCAAAACCTTAAAACCATATGATTTCTTTGTTTAAAAAGTGAATGTGTGCTGAAAAAAAAAAAAGAAACGCGAAAAAAAAAAAAACAGAACTCAAACACTGTATTAGAAAAAAAAAAAAAAGAAAATGCCAATGTATTTCTCAGATGAATCTCTCTGACACATGACAGTCTTTGCTAAGTGTCTCATCAAGATGATTTACTGAAAATGAGAACAAGATACATGGTTGTCATAAATCCAGAAACACTTGTCAAAGAAATAATGTGTTTTGTTAGTTTGGGTTATTTTTAACTTGCAGCTTTCAGGTTATTCTCATAGTTTTTCAGTTCCTATCTTTTAGTTTATCGCAGAGAAAAGTAAAAGTACAGTAACCCTTTCCACGCATTTGGGGCACATAGGGCTAGACCTTTGTTTTATAGACCAATCGGCACTCAGTGGTTAAAGTGGTCAAAATCACGCCAGCCGTTGTTAATTCCCCGGACTTTATCTAATATAAATTTCTAAGACTGTGCCATCCTTGAAGTCTAGCTTAATGCAGATTTCATGTCTTTGCCTTTTCTAAACTTTATTCATATAGTCAACAACTTTTAGTTTTCGTAGTGGGCGCTGCGTGGTCTCGAGGCATGGTGTCCGCCTCAAGTGCTAGAGGTTACGGGTTCAATTCCCGGTAAGGACTGGAATTTTTTTCACGTGGACTTGGACATCAAGTATTTCCTTTGGTCTCTGGGTAGTGAGATCAGACGCCAGTGTGTATTAGTGGCAGTTGGAAATCAAAAGGGTAGCCTAACGGCGCTGTCTGAGCAAAATTTGGAATTAAAAATCTACCCAAAGTATTTCAGGATCCTCGCCGGTTCTACAGAGCCTGTGCACTGTGCTGAACTTCTTTGGATTCCGAATTAGTTAGAAGACGGACGAAGATCTTATGGGTTTACTACCCGTGTGTCATGATGTTGATCCGTTGTAGGAAACCTCGAACCTCAAACTTCGGACTCAGACTTGAGTTAGAAGAAGAACGGAGCACTTATACCAAAACGTGTCCGTTTTCTACATGATCTATATTGGGGCATATAGGGCTAGACCTTTGTTTTATCGATCAATCGGCACTCAGTGGTTGATGTGGTCAAAATCACGCCAGCCGCTGTTAATTCCCCGGAATTCACCTGATATTCATGTCTAAGACTGTGCCATCCTGGAAGCCCAGCTTAATGGAGCTTTATTGTCTTTGCCTTTCCCAAACTCCTTTATTCATATATTGGCATACTTTATCTTTCTCTAGACTTAGTCAATGATATACTTTCTCTTTCTCTATACGTGGTCAATGATATACTTTACCTTTCTCTAGACGAAGTCAATTATTTACTTCACCTTTCTCTAGACGTGGTCAATGATATATATTCCCTTTCTCTAGACGTGGTCAATGATATACTTTCCCTTTCTCTAGACGTGGTCAATTATATACATTTCATTTCTCTAGACGTGTTCAATGATCTACTTTGCCTTTCTTTAGACGTGGTCAATGATATATATTCCCTTTCTCTAGACGTGGTCAATGATATACCTTCCCTTTCTCTAGACGTGGTCAATGATATACCTTCCCTTTCTCTAGGCGTGGTCAATGATATACATTCCCTTTCTCTAGACGTGGTCAATAATCTACTTTGCCTTTCTTTAGAGGTAGTCAATGATATATTTACCCTTTCTCTAGACGTGGTCAGTGATGTGCATTTCTTTTCTCTAGACGTGGTCAATGATATACTTGCAATTTTTCTAGACGTAGTCAATTATATACTTTCCCTTTCTCTAGACGTGGTCAATGATCTACTTTGTCTTTCTGTTGACATGGTCAATGATATATTTACTCTTTCTCTAGACATTTTAAATGATATACTTTCTCTTTCTCTAGACGTAGTCAATGATATACTTTCCCCTTCTCTAGACGGGGTCAATTATATACTTTCCCTTTCTCTAGACGTGGTCAATGATCTACTTTGCCTTTCTTAAGACGTGGTCAATTATATATTTACCCTTTCTCTAGACGTCGTCAATGATATACTTTAACTTTCTCTAT